ATGGATTATTTAATTGATCAATTATCAGCAGAAAAATGAATTGACTTGAATGAATTGTGTTTAAAATAGAAATGTTGCAATAGTCATTAAGTATTAAGCAAAAAAATAGACATTTTAGTATTTTCTGGCATTTTATAGACTGAACAGTTAATCAGTTAAGTGAAAGAATAATAGATAAATCTATAATATATGAACAAATAATCAAACAACCCCAGCATACGTTGCTAAAATATTGAGAGGCAGTATTCGTATTCATACGAAACCATCCAACTCATATCACTCATACGGCTACAGATGCCACCAGGTTTTAAGATAAGCTGGTATTCCGGTTCAGCCCAAGGAGGTAATGGAATCGTTTTCCATTAAGGGTGTTTCCCCAATCATAGTCCATCCCTGGAGCCTTGTTCCAAAGGCCATAGCTATCCCTGCAGTCTGAGATTGGGGAGTGAGTGACTGTGGACAGACAGAAGGTACCACATCCCTGCACCTGTTGTCTTTTTGAAACAGGGGGAGCCTGAATCACTGCATGGGGCATAACACCCCACAGTGTTGACATCTCCAGGAACAGAGCTCAAATTTTTAGACAAATCCAACCCCCCACGCCACTCCCACACATGCCTTCACTGCATACAAGCATGCGGGATACCAGGATTATCATGTTCCATCCAAATATAATGTGCCAACCATGGGCAGTGTCTTGTCTGGATCTGGTTCCTGGGTGCCAGTTTATATTTAGAGGCACAACTGTGAGTGATTGTGGCTGGAAAGGAGCACCCCCCTCCCACCTTCGAGCCCATCTCAGACATCTGTCTCTCTGAAACTGAATACTGCTAAGGCACTAATGCATGTTGAGGCTTGCGCTTCATTACTTTCTATGTTTCTGTCTGTAGGATTTGAGCCATACTAAGAAAGACAAGGATAGTAAAAGTTGGTTTATACATGCACTCCTCACTTGTCAAAGATTTGTACTAAGTTTTCCTTCCTGACCCTCAAGAAGGAAAAGGGGTCAGAGTGACAAGGGGGAATCTGATAGATCCTGGGAGAAAAGTGAGAGGAAACAACATGTTCACATCACGGAGTGCTGGATTAATCATTAACTGTATGCTTGCTTGCAGTGGAACAACAACCCTTATCTTGTCCTGCCCCGACACCAGTGAGGACAAGCATGCCGAGTCTGTGGCCTTGCTCACTATCCGTTGCTGTGGAAATGGCGCGAAGATCACATGGCTGCCTTGCCGTGGCGGTCATGAGTTGTTCCAGAGGTTGAATGCGTGTGTTTATATTTCTGTTCCACTATTGCAAAGCCCCGGGGTAAACCCTCACAGTCACATGACCGCCCACAGGAAGTGAGGCATCAATCCGCTGCACAGTAACTGTATGGCATCCCCCAAGTTTATGCCAACTGACCTCTCACAGTTCCTTATATGGAGGCTCTATTCTTAGCACATGTGCATGATATGAAGAAGCTGCTGTTAGTCTCATTCTGAGTACAGTCCAACCCCGGCCCAGTTGTCAGTTGTTCCTCTCTCTACATGTTTCAAGTGTCTGTAGCTGAAACTAAGATAAAGGGATCTCTATGGATTATACTGTATTTTGCAGTTTGGAGAGAGTATTGCTTTTGAGGTGGATTTTGTGTTGATTAGTTGAGAAGCCCTTGCACAAATTGTAAAAATGTTAAACTGTCTTGGTGGCTTGCTCTGCTAGGACCAACCTTTTTCATGTCAGGGACCCCCACAATAAATGCACACTATACCGCGGACCCCTGTTTGAGGGGATTTTGTCTTATGGAATTTCCTCTGAGCAAGTGTCTATTGTTAGGTTGAAATCGTGTTTACCTAGTTGTTCCCAACTTCCAGCAAATGGCTATTAGTATTCTATTGAATACTTTTTTTGCATAAGCACCCCCTTAAAACCCCTTTCAACGGACCTCTGTTGGTTACCAGACCCACATTTGAAAACCACTGTGTTCAATTTCTAAACCTGTAGACAGTGGGACCAGAATAATGAATGCTAAACCTCTAAATAATCATACCACCACACTAACCAACAATGCCCACCCAGTCATGCAGAGTGGTCTTCCTTATATTAATTACTATTTGACCCTTACAGTGTTGCATTACCTTTGTATGTGTTAAGCTAATTCTCTTGTCCAGAGCAATGCAGTCCAGCTTTCGAATCAACTTGAATTACGTGTTAAAAGCAGAAACCAACAAGACAACCCTGATCTCCCTGAAGATGTAACGTGTAAGAGCTTTGCAGAGAAGCTGAAGTATGAATTGGACATTACGTCATAGTAATCTGTACTGACTCTGACAAGAGATAAAAGAACCTCAGCCTCTCGCCTTTTTTTTTTTTTTT